GGACAAACTCCTGGCTGAGCGGGAAGCCAGAAGTGAGGGCTCAATCCCAGGATCCTGAAATCATGACCTAAGTTGAAGTCAGACACTTAACCACCTGAGCCACCCAGGTGCCCCCTCATTACAAGGTCTTTTACAGAGCAAAGGTTTTTAATTTTGATGAGGACCAATTTACCAATTTACCAATTTTTCTTTTTATAAATCATGCTTTTAGCCTCAAGTCTAAGAACACTTTCCCTAGATCCTAAAGATTTTCTCCTATGTTTTCCTCTAAAATCTTTCTTTGAGGATTTTTTCTCTTTTGAAGAATAATTACATACAATATTGTATTAGTTTAAGGTGTACAACATACTGAATGGATATATATATACACATTCAAAAATGGTCACCACAAGGGGTGCCTGGCTGGCTCAGTCAGTGGAATGTGCAACTTTTGATCTCTAGGTTATAAGTTCAAGCCCCATATTAAGTGTAAAGATTATAAATAAATAAACTTGAAAAAAACTTTATAAAAAAATGGTAACCACGATAAGAAGACTGGTTACCATCGGTCACCATACAAAGTTGTTATAATATTATTGACTTAATCCCCTGTGCTGTACATTATATCCTTGTGTCTTTTTTATTTTATAACTGGAATATTGTAGTGTTTTAACAATATGAACTTCCAATCAATGAGTATAGAATATCATTCCATTTCTTTGTGTCGTCTTCAGTTTCTTTTGTCAGTGTTTTACACTTTTCAGAGTACTGGTCTTTTACTTCCTTGATTAAATTTATTCCTACATAGTTTATGCTTTCTGTGCTTTTAAAATTCTTTTTGATGTAATTTAAAATCTAAAAGTTACACATTTTACATTTAAATCCATATTTTACTGAAACATAGCCATGCCCTTTCTTTGAAATATGGTCTGTCTGCTTTTGTACTATATCACAGTGTGGACTAGTTGTGACAGACTGTATGATCCACAAAAATCTTTTTTTTTTTAAAGATTTTATTTATTTATTCATGAGAGACACACAGAGAGGCAGAGACAGGCAGAGAGAGAAGCAGGCTCCCTATGGGGAGCCCGATGGGGGACTTGATCCCAGGACCTCAGGATCATGATCTGAGTTGAAGGCAGACGCTCAACTGCTGAGCCACCCAGGTGCCCCTGATCCACAAAATCTAAAGTATTTACTCTTTGGCCCTTTACAAAAAGTGTTGACTCTTCTTCTGGGCTGACAAATGCTGAGATAAACTATATGGAAATATTTCTAAGGTGTAATATCAACAGTTTTTTTTAAAGATTTTATTTATTTATTCATGATAGACACACACACACACAGAGGCAGAGACACAGGCAGAGGGAGAAGCAGGCTCCATGCAGGGAGACCGATGCGGGGCTCAATCTCGGGACTCCAGGATCACGCCCTGGGCCAAAGGCAGGCATCAAACCACTGAGCCACCCAGGGATCCCAATATCAACAGTTTGGAACAAAATAATATGAAGGCAGCAGTGTCCACCCACATAAATTTATGACAAATCTGTCTTGAGGCTTTTCTTTTTGAAGCTGCAATTCCTAACACAACTCTAAGTATTGTTCCTAAGTCTATGCTCAGATTTTGGATGTTTTCCTGAAGCATCATAGACAAAGATGTTTATAAGCAAGTGTTTGTTATTTGGTAATAGGAATCTAACAAGGTTGAGAAAGTATGTGTGTTGTGTGTATAATATATATAACATATATACTCCTTGATGAATGCCTTTGGCAAAATAAGCCATCTTCAACTCATGGCCTTTATTCAAAGAATTTACATTAGGTGACTCAGAAATATATTACAATATATTCCAAATTTACCCTCCAGCCTCAAACATGACACTAGTCAGAACTCAGCCACGCATGGTGCCGGATGGAGTTTAAAACTGCATATTGTCTTCTTATCCCAGTACTTGAGGTTACTAAAATCAAAGGGTGGGATATATGACCATGCCAGTCATTAGATTATTGTATGTCAGCTCTAAAACCTCCCTGCCAGACTCTGCGAGGCTAGAATTCATTTCTGCCTTGCCAGCTGGCTTACTGAAGTTTCCAATTGGATGTGTTGGGGAACCCTACACGGCAGGACAGAGAAGGGACTTGATTCTGCATTCTGGCTATTTCTTTCAGCAGTCCTGTCCCCGCAATGTCCCTTCACTGGCTGTGGCAGCTGCTTCCAGTCTCTGGCTTTGTCACACGCCTCAGACGGCCTCACTGTGCTCCCTCAGAACCATCAGCACTAGGCATGCAACATCCCCACTCAGAGGTCTAAATCTCCCCTTTCTAGCAACTCTCCTCCAAATTTCTAGATAATCTCAACCTCTTCTTTTATTTTTTTTAAAGATTTTATTTATTTATTCATGAGAGACACACAGAGAGAGAGGCAGAGACATAGGCAGAGAGAGAAGCAGGCTTCATGCAGGGAGCCTGACGTGGGACTCGATCCCGGGTCTCCAGGATCACGCCCTGGGCCAAGGGTAGATGCTTAACCGCTGAGCCACCCAGGTGCGTCCCACAACTTCTTTTCCTCCAGACCTAGGGCTGATACCTATGGCTTGGAGTTACCATCTTTGTGTAATTACCTCACTGTTCCCTTACTGCTTTTTTTTTTTTTTTTTTTTTTTTTAGTTTTCCAATACTGGCCTGGCCAATCCCTTATGTTAAATTCTTTGGGAGGGACACCCGGGTGGCTCAGTGGTTGAGCATCTGCCTTTGGTTCAGCGCGTGATCCCAGGGTCCTGGGATTGAGTCCCACGTTGGGCTTCCCATTGGGAGTGTGCTTCTCCCTCTGCCTATGTCTCTGCCTCTCTTTCAGTGTCTCTCATGAATAAAAAAATAAACATCTTTAAAAAAATTGTCTTTGGGAGAATTCCTAGTGAGGCTTGTGTTTTCTCCAGACTGGATCCTGAATGATACAGGGAATATTTCACGGGATCAACATTTGACACACAGGCATACAAGGCAGGAAAAAAAAAAAAAGGTCTGCCAATTCACTAACTTGTTGTGCCTCTTTGGCAACATTAGTTCTCTTCTCCAAACTTCTCATCAAGATTTGCTGAACTGGGGATCCCTGGGTGGCTCAGCGGTTTAGCGCCTGCCTTCAGCCCAGGGTGTGATCCTCGAGTCCCGGGGTCGAGTCCCACGTCAGGCTCCCTGCATGGAGCCTGTTTCTCCCTCTGCCTATGTCTCTGCCTCTCTCTCTCTCTCTGTCTCTCTGAATAAATAAATAAAATCTTAAAAAAAAGATTTGCTGAACTGTTACCAAAATTAGTGTTCAGAATTAGTAAATATCTCAGAGGGTGCTTGTCTAGGGAGAAAAGAATCAGTAAATCAATATTATTCTCCAATACTATATGAGTTATTGTTAGAGTGCATGAATGTGTTTCTTTCAGAGTAACCTTTCTTTTGTTAAATTTCTTTTATTTATTTTTTTTTAAATTTATGATAGAGAGAGAGAGAGAGAGAGAGGCAGAGACATAGGCAGAGGGAGAAGCAGGCTCCATGCACCGGGAGCCTGACGTGGGATTCGATCCCGGGTCTCCAGGATCGCGCCCTGGGCCAAAGGCAGGCGCTAAACCACTGCGCCACCCAGGGATCCCTCTTTTGTTAAATTTCTTAAAATGAAACCTTTTAATACAAAATGATACATGCATATAATTTATTTTATCACATACATGTACTGGTTTGCTAGGGCTGCTGTAACAAAGTACCACAGATTGCGTGGCATAAATAATAGAAATACATTTTCTTTTTTGTTTTTAAAGATTTTATTTATTTATTGATGAGAGACACAGAGAAAAAGGCAGAGACACAGGCAGAGGGGGAAGCAGGCTCCATGCAGGGAGCCAGATGTGGGACTCGATCCCAGGACTCCAGGATCACACCCTGGGCCAAAAGCAGAGGTTCAATCGCTGAGCCACCCTGGGGTCACTAGAAATACATTTTTCTTGAAGGTGGAAGACCAAGATCAAAGTGTTGACAGGTTTGCTTTCCTCTCAGCTATTCTCCTTGGACTGCAGATGGGTGTCTTCTGGGTCCTCACAAGGTTATCCCTCCGTTTTGTGTCCTAATCTCCTCTTCTTATAAGGACACCAGTCACACTGCATTAAGATCTACCCTAACAACCCTCTCTTGGGTTTGAACTCTTGTTTCCTGGATCCTGTGTCTGTTTTGGGTCTGTCTACTTGCTGTGATGTCAGTTTAACGTTTCAGGATTCATCTACGCAGCAAACATGTACTGAGCCTTGTGTCAGGCATGGTGCTAGGCACTAGGGATAGGCAGGTAAGAGAAACAAAGCTACTGCCTACAGGCTGCAATGGCTCTGTGACAGCACAATGAACCAATGTGACTGGAAATCGGAGCAGAGGACCACTTGTCTGGGAGCACAAGAACTGCCCCCTTTACAAATGTCAACATGGAAAAAATAGAAAGGGACTAAAATGTTTTGAGTTGTACCATGTCTGAACACATGTAGGTCCTTACCTCATTTAATACTCATACGAGGGCAGCCCGGGGTGGGGTGGGGTGGGGTGGGGCTCAGCGGTTTAGCGCCGCCTTCAGCCCAGGGCCTGATCCTGGAGACCCGGGATCGAGTCCCGCATCGGGCTCCCTGCATGGAGCCTGGTTCTCCCTCTGCCTGGGTCTCCGTGTCTCTCCTTAATTAGTTATGATACCCACCGCCCCTATAGCCCCGCCCCCGCAGCCCGGCCCCGTAGCCCCGCCTACTGTAGCCCCGCCCCCGTAACCACGCCCCATGCAGCCCCGCCTCCATAGCCACGCCCTGTAGCCCCGCCCCTTGTATCCACGCCCCGTAACCACGCCCCATGTACCCGCCCCACAGCCCCGCCCCTTGTAACCACGCCCACATAGCCCCGCCCACAGCCCCCCGCCGTAACCACGCCCCATGTAGCCCCGCCCTGGTAACCACGCCCCGCCCCTGTAGCCCCGCCCCTGTAGCCCCGCCCCTTCCCCGCCCCCCGCCTGTCCGCAGCCGCTGGGACCTGGGCGCCCCCGAGCAGGGTTCGAATGGCGGGCCGCGGAGGGAGCCTGGCGCTCGGGGCGGTGAGCTTGGTGCTGCTGCTCCTGGCCCGGGACGTGGCAGGTAGCCCTCCCCGCGGGTCTGGCCGGCCGGCACGGCTGCGGGCGGAGTATCCGAAAGTGGGTCTGGCCCGGGGCTCCCAGCCCCCCGGTCCGGCGGCCCTCGGCGCACCCGTTACTGGCGGTTCCCCGCAGCCTGGCCTGTGCGCGTCTGGGGGCTCGAACGGGGGGCGGGGTGCAGGGCTGGGGGATGGCCCTGGGGCCAGCGCCGCTCTTTCCTTCTTGCTTGGCCTTGGCTCCTGGCCTCTTCTTAGTGACACCCAGCTATCTGCTGTCTCTCCCCCTTGAAGATTTTCTGGAGCCCAAGATTATTAGAATTTGTGTGTGTGTGTGTGTGTGTGTGTGTGTGTGTGTGTGTGTGTGTGGACACGGGGGCCCTACTGAATCCCTGCAGGAAATGAACAGGAATTAGGGATTGTGAATGCCAAGTGCATCAGGCACTCTGAGGCTTATGAGAAAGGGGCTTTAAGTCCAGCCAGACTTGACACCTGTTTGAAAATGGAATTAAAATGGTAGCACCTAATGTTCAGTTTTGCGTCTGTTACCCTGAGCCACAGAGGAGAATATGGTGAATTAGTAAGAGTTACTTCTCTTTTATTTCATAGCTCCGAAATGCTTTTTCAAGCCAGTGTGTTAGGGTGGTCGGTTCCAGAATCCGCACCAAATATGTGTGTGCCTGCTAGGAGAGGTGCCAGAAAACAACTTATTACGCTTCTTTGGGGGTGTGGGCGATGGGGGCTGTTCCAAGAAGCTAGGCATCTGAGAGGAAGGGAGAGGTTGTGGCCAGGATAAAGCATAAGCTGGATTTTAAAAGCCCCTTATGAATAAGAATTGACCTTAATCATATACTTTAAGATGTCTGTCTTCTTCTCACAGCCTCTTTGGACTCTTTCAGCTCTGCGTTTGGTCAACCTTCAGAATACAGAACAGTAAGTAGGAGCCCACTTGTATTATTTCCACTCCCACAGGGTTCGGGTTGGGGCTAGTTTTCAGGTCTGACCTGCCAGTTTTTGTTTTTGTTTTTTTTTCCCCTGACCTGCCACTTTTGAAACTGTTGACTGCCTTTTTAGAAATCAGATTCTAAGGCAGGCCTTTTGATGCAGATCAAAATTGTAAATTTTGGCCAGAAATAGCTCAGTCCTTGAAGGCCTCAACACTTTGTTTCCTTTAATAGTTTCTTTGATGATTCAAAAAGTCCTTGGTCTAATGGTTATGTCTTGTACTAGACATTTTATGAACATTATCTAAATAAGTCTGTGGAAACAAATGAAGACCAACTAAATGAAAACAAGCAAAAGCAAGATTTCAGAGCTTGATGTGTAGCACAGGATTCAGCCACACATCTTTTGTGTTTTGGTGGAAACTCAAAGGCTGGCAGAGGAGAGAGAAAGTGCTATAGTGGGAAGAAGAGAGGGTTTCAAGTGTGCCCTAATTGGAGGCTGTTGGCCTGGGCTAACTAGAAGCAGGCATCCTATGTGAAGGGTAAGATGTGCATATTTGGCTTTCTCTGGTTGGTGCTAAGTTAGAAGTGGGGAAAAACATTAGTGAACTTGTCAGTATCAATCCATCCTGGCCATTTTGGGCTAGTTGTTACGTAGGTTATTGTTTGGCTTCCTGGATTGTCATTAAGGATAGCTGTCTGACTTCTTACAAGTCTGACTTATACTAGACTGGCTTCCTGGGTTGGTTATTCTAAATAATGAATTGGTTTCCTGGGTAGGCTGCTGTAGGTTGTGGATCAGAGTTTTTTATATACATGTGTGTGTGTGTGTGTGTGTGTGTGTATTAGAAAGAGAGAAAAAACACATAAGTGGTAGGGGAGTGGGGTGCAGAGGGATAGAAAGAATCTTAAGCCCAGCACGGACCCTACGGTGGGACTCGATCTTGTGACCCCAAAATGATGATCTGAGCCAAAATCAAGAGTCAGACGCTTAACTGACTGAGCTACTCAGGTCCTCCACAGTTCAATTTTAATAAATGATATTATATTGTCTGTTTGTATATTCAGTCTCTCAATCCTCATAGTGACCTTGTAAGATATTATGTATAAGGATATCGACCTCAAGGGGTTAAGTAACTTTGAGTATTCAAATCAGAGTAGACCTCTCCAGGAAACCTTCCCATCCCATTTTCTAACTCCAAAGGAGATATAGATGCACTTTTTCTTTGTTTCCATTCAACCTATACTGCATCATCATCATCGTTATCATCATCACATGACAGTGTAGGGAAGATTTATTTATTTATTTAAGATTTTTAAAATTTATTCATGAGAGACACACACACACAGAGAGAGAGGCAGAGAGGCAGAGACAGGCAGAGGGAGAAGCAGGCTCCATGCGGGGAGCCCGACGTGGGACTCGATCCCAGGGCTCCAGGATCATGCCCTGGGCCAAAGGCAGCACTAAACCTCTAAGCCACCAGGGCTGCTGCAGGGAAGATTTAAAAGCTTTACACTTCTAAGTTCTCAACTGGGGCCTCTTGAACACAAGACAGTTTAACAAGAAAAAAAAAAAAAACCAAGCAAGTTTATTAAGTGTATCACACATACACACATGGAAGCATTCAGAGATGAGTAACTCAAAGAGGTGGTTTAGAACTTTGACTTATATAGAGCAAATTTCTAGAGACCTGACAGGACAAAGTAAAATGGTTTTAGGCTTCCAAGGGTGGGATACTATAGGAAGGTAAATATATGGGAAGAAACTACAGAGTAAGGTTTGTTTGCAGGTTCCTCTGGGGCCACCTTGGGCGGAGTCTAGAGTTGTCTTCAGTAAAGAAGAAACTATATTCTGCCTTTGGGCAGAAAAGGGGAGAATACAGAACACTTTTCTTGGGATTGCTACTTCTTAATTGCCTTTAGCTCAAAATATATTTTATGTCAAAGAGTCATATTTTTGGGGTGACATATTCTGGTTTCCTTCAACGGTAAATGCTATCTCATCATAGCATTGAATTGTAATTGCCTGTTTGCCTGTCTCCTTTCAGTAAACTGTATACTCCTGTCATCAAGTATGATGTCTTATTTGTTATTTGGTGTCTAATCTTCAGCTCTTAGCAGACCCCAATAATACATTTTGATCAGATGACTCCATTTTTGGGTGGTTTGATATTCTCTCAGAAGATGGGAATAACCCCACCTCCATCTCAAGGCTGGGATTAGGGTAAGGTGAGTTGGGTGCCTAGGGTGCAAATTTTTTTTTCTTTTTCTAGGGTGAAAATTAAAAAGAAATATTATTTATTCATGAGAGACACAAAGAGAGGCAGAGACATAGGCAGAGGGAGAAGCAGGTCCCATACAGGGGGCCTGATGTGGGACTCGAGCCTGGGACTCCAGGATCATGCCCTGAGCCGAAGACAGGCGCCCAACTGCTGAGTTGCCTAGGCATCCTGCTAGGGTGCAAAATTTAAAAAGGCACTCATTCTCAGGAGGCAAATGCTACAGGACTCTGCTCAGTTTGTACAGGATTATTAAAAGAATGAATTACTCGAGATTTTTGTTTTCGTCCCCAGTTCTGTTGCCACTGCTCTGGTTTAGGGTCCCCATTACCTCTTACCTAGGCTAGCATAGTGGCCCCCTATGCAATTTTCCTGAACACTTTACTGTCTCCACTTCCTGACCCCTGCTACACACTGCTGCTGCAATTCCTTTCAAAACTTCAGCTCTAGGGATGCCTGGGTGGCTTAGTGGTTGACCCGTCTGCCTTTGACTCAGGGCATGATCCCGGGATTCTGGGATCTAGTCCCACATCAGGCTTCCCACATAGAGCCTGCTTTTCCCCTTCCTGTGTCTCTGCCTCTTTCTCTCTGTGTTTTTCATGAATAAATAAAATCTTAAAAAAAAAAAAAACAGAACAACTTCAGTTCTAAGTACAGCATGCCCCTATGCAGAACATAGAGACTTCCCAGTGTCAACAGAGTGTCCTTACTGCAGCCTGTCTTTCTACCTGTACCTTCCACTGTTTTCCCATAGCTTATGCTCTTCTATCTCTATGCTAGTGCCACAGTTTTTTTTTTTTTTAAGGTTTATTAAATCCCAGTATTTATTCGTTTAGAGAGAGAGTGCATGATGTGGGGAGAGGAGAAAGAGGAAGCAGACTCCTTCTAACACCTCTCTTAAAATCTTATTCATTTATTGAATTTTTCAAAAGAAAATATTCAGAGTATAAAGCTCTGAGAATTACTTAAAAGCATATCACATCCTTCTACAAATATTAAATTGATTCTAAGAAATAAGTAAAAATGCGAGATGGCCCTCTTCCAGAATGAGAGTGTCTTCTAGAGCTCTGAGGAGCAGTCTGCCATGGATGTAAACTCTCTTCTATAGTTGGCATGTCATGGCATGTAATTTAGAGCCTCCCCTGATGGTGAACCTATTCTGAATTGTTTTTCTTCTGTCATAAATTTGGGTAACTGAATAAAACTAAGGGTTGGTGGAGGCATAATTTATTAATGAAATTATTTGACCTCATTGATAAAAGTGAAAAGTATTTATTCGTAAAGCCTCATGTTCCCACTCAGAAAATCCAGGAAGTGAGTGGCCTAAATTTAATAAAGTTAAATGGTGGATAGCCAAAGTTAGCTTTGAAATCAAGAGAATGAGACTGGAAACAGACTGGAATACCACCATTGTCTTCCAGCTGGCTAGATACCTTGGGATCTGAGAGACATCAAAGATCTTCTGCTTAAAAAACAAAACAAAACAAACAAAACTTCCTTACCAGCCTGTTAGTGCTCCTCAAAATTCATATGTTAGTCATTCTTTGAGACGAAAGCATTTGAAAGCTTCTGTTGAATATAAAAAACCCTAAGACCTTCAGGCTAAATAGATTGATTTTAATTAGTTGTTTATCTAGTCAGTCAGATAGTGGGCATAGGCAAGAAGTGTTTTAGTTAAAAAAAGGGAGGCAGGAAAAGTCTAGAGCAGGAGCTCCCTGAAATTGTGTGCCAAATTGTGTATCTCAGTGTATTCCCCTTATCTTCCAAACGTAGTCTAAGTGGATTGGATGTCAAGATGATTGGGAACAGCAGTTCCTAAACCCAGTCCTAGCTGAATCAGAATTCAGGGGTCTCTAGACACATGGATTCTAACCCTGGAGATGCTAATTGAATCTGGCATGAGGTCCCAAATCAGTGTTTTCTTTCTTTTCTAAGTTTTATTTAATCCATTTAGTTCACAGTGTAATATTAGTTTCAGGTGGACAATATAGTGATTCAGCACTTCCATACAACACCCGGTGCTCATCACCACAAATGCACTCCTTAATCCTCATCATCTACTTCATCTACTTCACAGCCACCTTTCCCCACTAGCCGCCCCCCCCCGCCCCCGCCAGCCCCAACCTCCTCTCATCAGTTTGTTCTCTGTAGTTAAGAGTCTGTTTCTTAGTTTGCCTCCCTCTCAGTTTTGTTTTGTCTTTCCTTTGCTTGTTGTTTTGTTTCTTAAATTCCACATATGAGTGAAATCACACAGTATTTGTCTTTCTCTGACTTCTTTTGCTCAGCACAATACTCTCCAGCTTCATCCATGTCATTGCAAATGGCAGTAAATCAGTGTTTTTAACACGCTTCTGAGGTGATGCTCAGGCAGCCCTGTGTGGGTCCACTGGGGCTAGTTGTTAACACTAAACACTCACTGAACACCTTCCTCTTAAGCAACTCACAAATGACCCTCTTCCTTCTCTCTGAACAATTGCCACAGCATAATGACCATTTCCTGGCTGTAGGTAGCCTACCCTCTTATTTGTATACCAGTAGACTACTTCCCATCAGTAGAGTTGTATTCTTACCAAGACTTAAGTGTGTGTGTTCACAAGCCTGTTGTGGCAGTTACCAGTCTCATTTTAACTAAAAATGTAAGGACAATAAAAACATGAGTATAAAGAAATAAAGTCATAGATTATATGAGGACTGAATTGAATGCTTTTGAAAGACTTGGTAAAAGACATATTGTTAAAAAAAAGTTGCTGTCGAGTTAGGTGTATGTGAAACAACTGTAAATAACAGTAACAAGATTTTTAAAAATTGTATATTACATTGTTTTAAATTCTCATAGTATTTTTTTTAAGATTTTATTTTTAAGGAATTTTCTACAACTAGCATGGAGCTTAAATCTACAACCCCAAGATCAAGAGTTGCATGCTCTACCAACTGAGGCAGTCAGGCACTCCTTAAATTCTCACTGTATTTTAAAATAATGGTTCTCAGCTGGGGGCAGTTTTGCCCTCCAGCAGACATTTAGACTGTTATTTTGATCATCATGATTGGGGAGTTGATACTGGCATCTAGTGGATAGAGAACATCCTACAACATACAGTCCAGCCTCCCACTCCAAAGAATTATCTGGTCCAAAATATAAACTGTGGTTGAGTAATCATGTTTTAAAGAAAGGAAAACAGTGTGTACTTGTGTGTACTTATTATGGGTATCATTTTTGCAGTGATAGCACACAGAACTCCTAATTATAGTTGACTCTTGAACAATATGGGGATGGGGATGCCGACCCCCCCCATAGTCAAAATTCTAAGTATAACTTTTGACTCCAAAATTTAACTGCTAATAGCCTACCATTGACCAGAGGCCTTACTAATAAATAAAGACTTGATTAGGGGCACCTAGGTGACTTAGTTGGTTAAGCTTCCTGACTTTATTTTGGCTCAGGTTATGATTTCAGGCTCACGGGATTGAGCCCCTCATTGGGTCATTGGGTTCGACACTCAGTGGGGAGCCTGCTTAAGATTCTCTCTCTTCCTCTGCCCCTACCCCATTCCTCCCTCTCTCGTCCTCTCTCTCTCTCTCTCTCTATTAAAAAAAAAAAGAGTTGATTAATACACATTTTGTATGTGTTACATTCTTAACTTGGTATTTTTGTAAGAGAAAATAAAATTTTATTAAGAAAATCCCAAGGGAGACAAAATACATTTAAATACATGTTGTTCAAGGGTCAGCTGAAGTTGAAACATTCAAAGGAAAGATCTCTTGTATCAGGATTAGATTCAGCTGCAAGTAACAAGAGACAAAATAGGAGCACACAGTGCTGCCATCCTAGATTGTGCCCTTTATCCTCCTGATGTATAAGATAGAGATTAGAGCTCCATGCACCCAGAAACAGGATGGAGGAATGGACAGAGAAAAAAAATTGAGGGAAACAAAGGACAAGTAACTGCTTTCTCTTAAAGGACATTCCCAGAAGCTACTGCACAGTAATTCCATGTATATCCCTAGCTACAAGGAAAATTATATTATAGTAGCATTACAGGTGGCCCTATGTGTCTTATACCCAAAAATTGGAAATTTTGTTTTTCATCTATGTGTTTTATGATAAAATGTTTAGGGTATATATATATACATATATGTGTGTATATATACATGTGTATGTGTATGTATATATGCACATACAGTTATTGTTTCCTTGCTTTAATTGATTTTATCAACTAAACGACCAACTACCACTTGTCCCAATCTCATTGGATAAGAGGGCATCCACTCTGCCTGTGAGAGCAGCCTCACAAGGCATCATCTTAATGAGCTTTGGGCAGCATATCAGGCTCCTGAATGAGGGCTAAATGAGAGAATGAGAAGGGTCAGCAAAACCTCTTTTACTTTAGATTTTAATCCATGGCCATCCCTACTTAGGTCTTTATAAATCCAGATAATATCAATAGAAAAATGCACTGCCTTTATTCAGAGTGCTAAACCAGGATGACTTCTTTTATTCTGAAGTGAAAAAAGTGATTACCATTTACTAAAACAAGTATATATATAAACATATGTCTATAAAATAGAAATATAGTGGACCATATATTTGACCTTTGTTAAAGTGAGACTGCACACCATAGTCTGATCGCTGTGACCACATCTAGTCCTGGCCCTGCTGGAGATTAGCAGCTGTGAGAAAGATATATCATTTGTCTAGCCTCAAATCCATCTAATCACAGGGTTGAGTTCCATGATGCCATGTCAGTTTCTTAGGGCTGCTGTACTAAAGTTCCACAAACTGGAGGACTTGAACAACAGAAATTGAATGTCCCACAGTTCTGGAGGCTAGAAGTCCTAAATCAAGGTGTTGGTAGAATTGGTTCCTCTTGAGGGCTGTGAGGGAGAATCTGTTCCATGCCTATCTCCCAGGTTCTGGGAGTCCCAGATGTCTTTTTGCTTGCAAATGGCATTCACTTTGTCTTCTCATGATCTTCCCTCTGTTTTGATTCTATGTCCAAATTTTCGCTTTTTATAAGGACACCAGTCATATTGGATTAGGGTCCATTCTACGGACCTCATTTCAACTTAATTTCTTATATAAAGACCCTGTTTCCAATAACGTCACATTCTGAGGTGCTGGTGGTTACAACTTTAACTTAATCACTTTTTGAATGGGTATAATTCAATCCTTAACAACCCCTAAGGAAGGTCTAATTCTGAACCTGCTGTTTTCTTTGGTGCTGTTGGTTAAATGCCAGTATCTTAAAGGTCCAGACTAAAAGATTAGATTCCTGAGTTTATCTTGACATCATGCCAAGGGATTAATTAAGATGGAATGTAACAACATTCGTTTGGAGTTAATAGTAAAGTACAAATTACAAAGTGGGTATGATGGTGTGTCTTGGACTTTCATTTAAAAATCAGCCAGACTGGGGTGCCTGGGTAGCTTAGTCAGTTCGGTGTCTGACTTTTGATTTTGGCTCAGGTCATGATCTCAGGGTTGTCAGGTCAGATCCTGCATCGGGCTCTGCACTGGGCATGAAGTGTGGTTGAAATATTTTCTCCCTCCCTCTCCTTCAGGGTCCTCTAAAAAAAAGATAAAAATAAATAAATAAAATAACCAGACCGAGGTCCTTTTCTTACATAGTAGGTGTTAAACTATTGCTTCAATATTGCACCTGATTTTTGCATTAAAAAAATCTTTCTTGGGCAGCCCTGGTGGCCTGGTGGTTTAGTACTGCCTTCAGCCTGGGGCATGATCCTGGAGACTCAGGATCGAGTCCCACATTGGGCTCCCTCCATGGAGCCTGTTTCTTCCTCTGCCTGTGTCTGTGAGAAATAGAACTATTTTTGTAGGATGTTTCTAGGAAATCTAGGAGACTTGGGACTTTGTCTTACCCTCAGCTATTTTGTGATGAGAATGTCTCAGTTTTGTAATTTCTGTTTTTCTTTCTCTTTTCTAGCCAAACTGCAATCAGTATAAATTACCAGGATGTCCCAGAGACTTTAGCCCTGTGTGTGGAAGCGACATGTCCACTTACCCCAATGAGTGTACTCTGTGCATGAAAATCAGGTAACATAGTTATATAGTATAGACTGGTCAAGTTTTCCTTAGTCCTTTTCTTGATTTTTGATTACTTAGGAAGTAGCAATTCTTTTCTTGGATGTAAGGATCAAATGTGACATAATAGTTCTGTTTTCAGACTGACATTTAAAAAGGCAGAATCAGGGATGCCTGGGTGGCTCAGTGGTTGGATGCTTGCCTTCGGCTCAGGTTGTGATCCCGGGATCCAGGATGGAGTCCCACGTTGGGCTTCCTGCAGGGAGTCTGCTTCTCCCTCTGCCTGTGTCTCTGCCTCTCTTTCTCAGTCTGTGTCTCTCATGAATAAATAAATCTTAAAAATAAATAAATAAATAAATAAATAAATAAATAAATAAATAAATAAATAAATAAATAAATAAAAAGGCAGACTCATTCAGTGCATTTCCCAGGTCAAAGTTAGAGAATGACATTTGTGAGTAGCCAACTATAGACCAGATAACCAGGTTATGTTACTCTCCACGGATGGGCAGTTTCCCCAAATTAAGAGTATATTTAATTCTTAAACTCTGTGACATATTCATCTTTCCTTTATTTTTACTCATATTTTTAAAAAATGGTTTTTTAAATAGGCTCCACACCCAATGTGGTTCTTAAACTTATGACCCTGAGATCAAGAGTTGCATGTTCCACTGACTGAGCCAGCCAGGTGCCTCTTGAATCGTCTTTTAAATTCAGAGGGCATGTGCAAGTAACCTGTATCCCCTGCAATATGAACTGGGACATAGGTCTTAATCATTCCACCTAGTAGAATGTTAAGCAATATATGTTATGCTTGATGCCCTTCATGTCACTCACAGGTGATGTGACTCCTATAAGTATGAAGCAGGGTGAATCACAGGGTTAAGATGCATTTCAAATAACCATGTAGTGCCAATATTAAATTCATGAATTACTCAGTTTATTGCAAACTTTATCACACAAGTTAGTCACACAAGAAAGCTAGTGGAGGGGATTAATGAACCACTCTGAAGAGGATCCAGGAAGGAGGCATCACAAGGCAAGCAGTGAGGCACCTCTCCAGTGACAAGTTTTGGCCTTGGTTTCTGTCATGCCACTCTGTGCTGACAGCCTCCAGCAGCATCTGTCCTGGCACAGCAAACTTAAACCTATAGCCTGGATGGTTGATTGGCCTTAAAATGTCTGCCGGACAGCTTCTTCATTTAAGGATCTGCTTGGTTGGGGGTAACAGTTGTATCCAAACATTTTTGCCGCATCAGTTCCATCCACTTGGTCTTACCATAGACATTTTCAAACAAGTTACTTATCTGTTGGTTACAGAGCCAATGTGTGTGGGCACACTCTAAGTCTGCATCAGACATTGACCAACAATTAATTATAGGAGTTCACATTGGCCACTGAGACTCCATCTTGTCTTCCTCTAACTTAGCTTAATGTCAACTGTGAGTAGGAATCACATACAAAGTAGCACCCTATGACAAGGGATGCTGATTTGTATTTTGGGGGTTCATTCTCTGGTGTCAGTCTTTTTTTTTAAGGTTTTATTTATTTATTCATGAGAGACACAGAAAAGAGAGAGAGGCAAAGACACAGGCAGAGGGAGAAACAGGCTCCATGCAGGGAGGCCACATGGGACTTGATCCCGGGCCTCCAGGATCAGGCCCCGGGCCGAAGGCAGCGCTAAACTTCTGAGCCACCCTGGCTGCCCCTGGTGTCAGTCTTTAGTGAGTTACTAGGTCTTCTCAGTATGCATTTTTGAGGTTAGCGCCCTACACCCTAGGGTTAGAAAAAAGTGGCCAACTTGGGGCTTTTACACTCATTTTTTAACCAAATGTAGCTTTAAAAATGTTTAAGTTAGCATCACCTTGGAAGGAATCCAATATATAACGACATGGGTCTTTTTGGTACAAAGAGCGGAACAGTTTCGGTATGGGAGGTAATAAATGTGTCTTTATGGTTGTTCACTTTGCAGGGAAGATGGGCGTGACGTTAAAATAATCCGGAGTGGACCATGTTGATGGAGCAGTCCATAGAAGAGAATTCGGAGAAACCACCTTCAACAGTATATGCTAGATGAATTCCATTTTCCCTTTTTCTCTTTCCTATGTTCTTTTGCATGGGATTTGTTAGCCCACATTTTCTGAAAGGAGATGTGGAAGAGAGCTAAGTGCAGTGACTGATAATTAAAACAAACACAAAAAATCCTTGTTTCTTGGCTTTTACCCCTTGAGTTAAGCTTATTGCCCAGGTGCCTTGTGTATTGCTTTATTTAGCTGGAATAAAATCAGCATTGTATTCAAGTATTACTGTTCTCTCTTGAATACCCATTCTTACTCCGCAGCCTCCTGGTGGCTCTTTTCCTTTCAGGCAAAGGTGATTTCATTAGGGCAAAGTGGAGTCTTCGTTGAGAGGGCAAGATTTATTCTACTTCCCCCTTCCTCCAAATCTTACAGAGTTAATGTAACGGGGACAGTGTTCTGCACAGAGCACATAACCATGAAATACTTGGAGCTGATTTTAGCCTGAGCCAGTAAAGTCAAAGAATCATGCAGGTTGAAATATTTACTAGATTCAATGTCTTCTTTCAGTAGTTTTCTCTCAGGGTTCGTGCAGGTATTTGGCTCCTTTATTTATTTTTAAAGATTTTATTTATTTATTCATGAGACACACACACACACACACACACACAGAGGCAGAGACACAGGCAGAGGGAGAAGCAGGCTCCATGCAGGGAGCCTGACGTGTGACTCGATCCCAGGTCTCCAGGATCAGGCCCTAGGCTGACAGCTGAGCCACCTGGGCTGCCCTTTTTCCTCCTTTTAGAGCAGTGGTTCTCAACTCCAGGGCGATTTTCCCCCAGGAGACATCCAGCAATATGTCTGGTGTTTTGTTGTCACAGTTGAAGGGTAGGTGCTACTGATGTCTAGTGGGTAGACACCAGGGATGTTGCCAAACATCCTACAGTGCCCAGGTCAGCTCTCAACAAAAATTTTTTCAGTCCAAAATATCAGTAGTACTGAGGTTGCAACATCCTGTTTTCAAGTTTGATATAACTAAGAATAAACATTAGCAATAATAAAAGTGATGGGGGATTACTTTAAAATGATGCTTTCAGGTAGAGGATTTTGAATCAAATCCTGGGAGAGGACTAGCTTCTAGGAAACCATGAGCCATGAGGCAAGAGGTGGCTGAGAAAGTGTGTAGTGGAAAGAATATGGCTTTTGGGGTCAGCAAAACCTGAGTTCGAATTCTGATTCTAGCAGTTGTGCTTTGATTTTTTTATATGGAAAATGGGATAGTGCTCAACTCATGGAACTGTTGAGAGGAAACTGCTTAGCACAGTGCTTGGACGTAGAAACCACTGAAATATCAGCTGCTATTTCAGGTACCCCTCTTAGAGAGAAAGAAACTGAAGAGGCAAACCACCTTGCCCAAGTAATAGAACACATTGAAAGTCTGGCCTAGATGCCTGGGTCTCCAAATTCCCAGTCCTCTGTTTCTTAGATGGAACAGAGGCAATAAAGTGGGAAGTTGTATAGAATAAATGGGCTCTAATAATGTTCTGTAGTTATTTTTGGCTTAAGATTTTAGTTTTATTAAAGTAGTATGTACTCTGGAAAATTAAGAAATGCACAAGGATATTTAAAAAGTGGAAGTCATGCCCGTACTAGCCTCCAGAGGTAACCAGTATTAACCTTCTGGAACACAGTGTCCTTTTCACTCTCCCTAAGTATGTGTGTGTCTATCAAATCATACAGACACATAGAAACACACACACACAAAATCCTGTCCTAAACTTGCTTTTCTCCCTATATTAGATTTTTAATGTCAATGAAGATTATTCTTTTCAAAAGCTATATAGTATTTTATTATTGTGATATAAGGTATCCAGCCTCTATTGATCTATATTCGGATTGTTTTTTAGGATTCTCTTGGTTGAAACTGGAAGAATCCCAACTCAAACAGCCTTAGCGAACGAGGGAGTTAATTGGCCCATTGAGTCATATTTGCAGAAGAGCGGGGGTAGCATTAGCCTCAGAGGCTACATTTATTATTTATTTGCCTCAGAGGCAACTGGGGACTCTAATGCATCAGGACTTCCCATCTCTTCATGTCTCATCTCTGTTTATTTTGGCATAGGCAGCTTCATTCTTAGGCTTGCTTCACCTCCTGTGCGAGAGACAAAATTGGAAGTTACAGATTCTATCCTGGCAGCTTCCTGAGCTAACAGGAAATAATTCTTTCCTATCAGTTCCAAGTGACTAAAATCTCCTGGAGTTACAGTCCCAACAATTGTACTTTCTGAAAAGAAAATGACTCTTCTGGACAAAGACCCTGATTGGTTCATGTTAGATTACATGTTCCCCTTCAGGCTGATTGTTGTGGTCACAGGAAGTAAGGTGGTGTAGGATTGGTTTAGCTGAGATGGGACATTGGGTGCTTTGTTCTCAGAGGAAAAAAGGGGGAAAATCCAAAAGGGAAAAAAAAAATCTATAGATGTGAACTATAGGTTGTTTACAACTTCTAATGATTATAAAACTGTTTCAGAGAACATTCTTGTCCATACATCCTTATCACTTGAGAAAAAAAAATACACATACACAAGATGAAAATAGCTCTAAAAATTTTTTAAAGAGAAATTTATGCTTGTATATAGTACACACTAATCGTTTGGTGTACCCAGCACCTCTCCCTTCTTCTGCCCTAAAGAAGCATTGCTTCTACCTTCCCCTTTCCTTTTCCACTCTGCTCCCAACTTCTGGCTGAAGGAAGCTGCCACCTTCTTATAGGATCCCATATCCCTGACTCTGGAGGCAGGCTGAAAGGTGAATGCCTGGACCAAATTAGACCAGTCACGGTCAGTCATAATTCCTACTACCTTGCTCACAGGGTTGGTCTGCAATGGGTTTGTGACCATTCAGAGTCCATCCTCAGAGAAGAGCCCTTTTCTCCTTTTAGGTGGTGAGATTGAAAGGCTGTGCCCCTAGAAGCTGCTGGAAGCCCTAACCCCTCACTACTGAGAAAGACTATGGTAGGAGAGCATGAGGCTAACATGCCCAGGGAAGCAGAACAAAAGACCCAGAGTGTCTTGGAGAAAGTAGACATTCTGGTTCTGGTTCGAGGGCTAGGGCTCCTATTTCCTGCCTTGCCATGGCTTAGGCTTTGTTAGTCAACTTCTCCTTTGAAAAGTGAGCTGGCCTGCTGTCCATTTCAATATTCCCCCCTATGCAGTTGGGTTTTTTTGTTTGTTTGTTTTGCTTATAGCAGTTTGAGTTGGATTGTCTTTTTTTTTTTTTAAGATTTTATTCATGACACACAGAGAGAGAGAGTGAGAGAGAGGCAGAGACACAGGCAGAGGGAGAAGCAAGCTCCATGCAAGGAGCCCGATGTGGGATTCGATTCCTGGTCTCCAGGATCACATCCTGGGCTAAAGGCGGCACTAAACCGCCCAGCCACCGGGGCTGCCCTTAAGTTGGATTGTTATCACATAAACTCTTCTAATAAATTCAAGCAATTTGGAAATATGTAAAGGAAAAGGGTCTCCCTGTTTTAGTCCATTATTTTGGACAGGAAAATAATGAAATGGAAGGCTTTTATAGTCAGAAAGAACTAAAAATAGTGATATTTCAAAAGAAATTCAAAAGTATAGATATGTATTATAAGAATTTTGTTGCAGTATTTATTTTTAATTTTTTAAAAACATTTGTTTATTTATTCATGAGAGACACAGAGAAAGAGGGAGAGACATAGGCAGAGGGAGAAGCGAGCTCGCTGCAGGGAGTCCGATGTGGGACTTGATCCCAGCACCCCGAGATCACAACCTGAGCCAAAGGCAAATGCTTAACCACTGAGCCACCCAGGTGTCCTTGTTGAAGTATTTTTTAATGATATTTAACTGTTAATACTTCCATGGTTTTTTGTATAAACCTTGTCTATTATTTTAAAACATATATATATTCATATATATTTTTTGTAAACTTGCTTTTCTGTCTTACATTAGGTTTTTTTTTTTTTTAAGATTTTATTTATTTATTCATGAGAGACACACAGAGAGAGAGAGAGAGAGGCAGAGACACAGGCAGAAGGAGAAGCAGGCTCCACGCAGGGAGCCTGATGTGGGACTCGATCCTTGGTCTCCAGGATCAGGCCCTGGGCTGAAGGTGGCGCTAAACCGCTGAGCCACCAGGGATCCCCTAGGTTTGTTTTTATATTAATATATGTAGTTTCATCTTTTTATTTTTTTAAGATTTTATTTACCTATTTGAGAGAGCGAGAGAGAGAGTGAGCATGAGTTGGGGGGAGAGGCAGAAGAAAAAGGAGTAGCAGAATCCCCACTGTGCAGGGAGGCCAAGGCGGTGGCACTTGATCCCAGGACCCCGAGACCCAAGATCATGACTTGAGCCGAAGGCAGATGCTCAACTGACTGAGCCACTCAGACTTTTAAAAAACTACATGGTATTCCATTGTATGATTGTGCTATTATTTATCTAGTCTCTATTGAGCTATATTTGGGTTGTTAGGATGTTCTTGGTTGAAAGGAGAAAACCCCCAGCTTAAACTAGCCTAATTAAAGGGAGAAGTGGTTCCTGGATATAACTGAGTGACTAAGCACATGAGCTCCAAATCACATATCTACATTCATTGAGCAAGTTATGATTTAACTTTGTTTCCTCATCTGTAAAGTGAGAATGATAAGAGTACCTACTTTCCAATGTTGCGGTGAGGAGTAAATAAAATAATACATACGAGGTGCTTAGCAGACTTGAAGTGTTGTCTGTTTTAGAGAAAACTATACATTTAAAGAAAAGCAGGCTGCTTTTTCTTTTTTTTTTTTTTTACTTACCCCTGGCCCTATAACAATATATCATGTATATTTTCCCCAGTCATTACATATAGATCTACCTCATTTAAAAAATAACTGCATTATATTCTATTATATGGGTATAACATAGTTTATTTATGCAGTTCCTCAGTGATGGACATTTAGGTTGTCATTTTCCACTGTCACAAATAATGTTGCAGTACCATCTTGGTACATGTATCCTTCTTTATGTGCACCAGCATTTTTTAAGGACAAGCTCCTAAGATTGGAGTTACTTGGTTAGAAGACAAACCAATTTAAAATGTTGGAAGAGGGGCGCCTGGCTGGTTCAGTCAGAGCATGCAGCTCTTGACCTTGGGATTGTGAATTCAAGCCCTATGTTGGGTGTAGAGCCTACTTAAAAAATGTTCAAAGATATATTGGCAAATTGAACTCCAATAAAAAAATTTAAAAAATATTCAAAGAGAGAGCAGCCCC